GCCAATTTTTTTTTTTTGTTTTGGATGCAAATAAATAGTTTGACAGGCTCGACTAACCTTTAATCCAGCTTCCTCGGAAAGTCACTTGATAGATTAAGAAAGAAATCCTACGATGCCTTTTTTATCAGATTTTTACTTAAGTAACATGACATTATACCGCCGTCTGTGATGAACAAATAGGTCAATGCCCTTTATATAGCATTACAGTTCCATATTCAGTCAAGGCATTTTCAGTCTGTATGAATCTGGATGGCTGACATGTCAAAACAAATAAGACCTGGACAGACAATTTTGTGGGTGTTTTTATAGTAAATTCCTTTTTTTTTGTGTAATTTCTTGATTTTATCTTAACTGACTGAGGATTACCACGCGTTTTTTCATAGGAGTTTTACAATTTCAAGTTAGACACAAACACATCAGGCAGAAAAATACCAGGGTGGCAGGAAATGCACAATGATGATACACCCTGTGAAAACCAATCAGAGGCATTTGATGGTCAAGATGACCACGCCTCTTTTTTGTCACTTAAATGTCAGTTTTCCGATGAAGACAGTGTCATGATGGTTCTCTTATGGGTTACACTGCTTCTTCTACATCGAGGCTGTAAGTTCTGCCTGCAGGAATCATAATGTCAATCATCCTTTAAAAAAGAATTGCACGATCACTATATGTATAACTGTTCTTTCTCTTGTTTTTCATTTATTGCAGACACGTTGGCTCCAGTGACCACAGTTCATCTTGGTCTTCCTGTGACACTGACATGTCCTGTGGATGAGGAAATTAAAACCAGCACGGAAATGTACTGGTACAAGCAGAGCATAGGGGAAAGTCTGAAATTAATTGCAAAGCTGTATAAAAAGGGAAAACCTACTTATAGTTCAGGAGAAGCTTCTGCCTCGAGACTAAACATGGTCTTTAATGGGAAATCCATCAGTCTGACTATTTACAGGACTGTTCCAGAAGATGAAGGAATGTATCACTGTGCTATCATTGACTGGTTGAAAAATACTTGGAGTGGAACCTATTTGTTTTTAAAAGGTAATTATATGATCTATTAATGAACTATTTGTTATCTCTTTAGACAGAAGGTGATGTGCTGCTGAATTATTTGAGAAAAATGACAGAAGATTGTCATAAATCATTACAAAGGCATGAGTTATTTAAATAAATGATATTTTAGGTGTTTTACATTTGTTTTGTTAACACGACTAATGATATTATTATTTACGCTTACCAGCAGTTCAGGTACGTTTTAGGTATATATGGTTATTTGTAGTGGAGGGTTTGTACAATACTGTGACCAAAAAAATATCTTTTATCCAGAAAACAACAATATTTTAACCGAGATTGTGTTTAAGAGCTCACTTTTCTCTCAGTAAATATATATGATATACAAAAATGTATCAAAGGAAAAAAACAAAAAACAATGACTGATTGAGCTCCAAAGATTGAAGTAATACATGTTCAGTACAGAAAAATAAAAAGATTTTAATCCATTTTTTTTAGGAAATCATCTAAGGATGTCAAACTACACTGTTGTCCAGTCGCCAGCCGTATTCGATTCAGACCATCCGGGAGACTCAAAGACTCTTCAGTGTTCAGTCCTCTCTGGCTCTGAGAACCAGACGTGTTCAGATTTCAGTGTGTTTTGGGTCAGAGCTGCATCAAATAAACTGGATCCACACATCATTTACTCTAATGGAAACAGAGCTGATAAATGTAACCAGAAAGCTGACACTCAGAGGAGATGTGTGCATCACTTCTCTAAGAGCATCAGCTCCTCTGAAGTCGGGACTTACTACTGTGCTGTGGCCACATGTGGAGAGATATTATTTGGAAATGGAACCAAAGTTGAAACTGGTACGTCTTACTTTTCAACACATTATAATATACTGATGTTGATTTGATCTGTTAATGGAAATGTGACTGAGGTATTGCCTTTTCTGTTTGTTTTCTGCATGCAAACAGTGGAATCGGAGTTTACTGCCCTGATGGTTGCGTTAATCTGTCTGGGCTTTTCTGTGACTGTAAACATTGCTTTGATTAGTTGCTGCACAAAAGCAGCATGTGGAAAAGGTGAGTGAGTATTTACGGACACTTTTCTCTTATTTTAATGATTACAATATAACTTTTGTTTGTTTTTCATGTCAATTTTCGATTCACACGTAGAAATTAGATCAGGTGAGTGATTATGTTGTATTTCATTATTAGGACCAAAAAACAACTCTTCACAAAAAAGAGATGACAACAGAAGCAAACCTAGAGATGAAACTGTAAGTAACAATACAAGTTAATGTAGTTCACTGAGATTTGATCGAAATGAATATTGACAAGCTGATGTGATGATGTGACCATAGTGAGCCTTTTTATTTCTGCACAGACTGAAGGTGAACAGGACCTGAACTACGCTGCATTACCTTTCTCTGAGGGGAAAGCTAGGAAAACAAAGAGGAACAAAATTGTCAACAGTGAAGAAAGTGTATATTCTCAGGTTAAAATCTCAACACGACCGTGTGTTTCTTCAGTATTGTTAGAAGCTCCCCATTTCTAACTGTCAGGAAAAACTTATGTTTCATTTGCATGATAAATAAATCATGATCACAATTAAAACAGGATGGAATTTCATGTTTGTGACTTGATGAGATTATGTGCCTGTTTGAATGATTTTCTTTTAAAAAAATATCTGTAAAGAAAAAATACTTCTTATTATTTTCTGTAAAAATAATGATCTTGTTTTAAAACCTGTTTACCATAACTGTGAAATAATATTAAGACCGCAAAAAAAAAAGAAGTGAAATTCGTATGTGTCTAATGTCTTTTTATTGGAGATGACACAGTGGGACATCATCAACATAAACATATTAAAAAAAACACATGACTGGTCATGGCAATTGTTCAGGCCGTTATGCCTCTCCTTTTTTCTGAGGCGTAGCCCACTTAAAAGTATTGGTTACAGTAACTGGAAGAAACAGAGAAAATGAACAACAGAGCCCAAACGCCCCAAACAAAATAATATTTTATTTTAAAAGGTTGTATGCTCTCCCAATGTATGTTTGGCTTCTCACCATGCACTCCCATTTCCTCTCATTTTCAAAAAACACTCCTTGATTCTAACTCAACTCTTAGAGTGAGCACAAGTGTGTGTGGTTGATGATCTGTGCCCCACCACCGGTGAAACCAATGAAACCATGAACTAAAGGTTTCAAAGGCTGTATGCTCACCCGAGGTATGTTTGGATTCTCTCTATGCAATCCCATTTCCTCAAGGCAAAAGTGATAACGCAGCATTGATACACCGACTGAACCTCTGTCACTCTGGAAAAAGCACTACATATAAAAATGAATAAGTAAAACTACATCAGCTATTTGTAGAATCAAATAGAATTTGAGATCAGCATTTTTAACTGGGCAATAATCAATGTACATTTCTCTTACCACAAGGGTTTCAGGCCAAAGCGAACAAATGCATTTTCCACATAGAAATCTGAGTAGTTGAAGTGATCTCACAAGAGTAAGCTCCACGCTCTTACATTCAAGATTCAAGCAGCTTTTTTTAAACTGGAGGGGTTTCCTGAGTCTAATTTTCATTACTTAAGAACCTGAAGAGATGGGTGTCCCTCCAGAATTTAATTAAATGTTTTGTAAAGAACCCGGAAAGTTTTAAAGTCTGTATTTAAAGTTAGGCCACCATATTTTCTCGATCCCAATCAAAAACGCTGAATAAACCTGGCCAAACATAGAATCAAAGGTAAATAACATTTTGTCACATTAATTGGCTTAAAGCATCAATATTTCTTGATATTTCTGTTTTTTTTTCTTCTTTTCAGTGTTCATCTCTGCTTAGCCCAACTTGACAAAATCTTCTTTATAAATGATACAAATACAGATTGCATATGTCAGGGCTTTGTGGCAATGAAAAGTGTGCTAAGGAGCTTGGGGGTGTAGTACAACAGCTTCAGTGGAAATTTACACAGGTGACAAACATGTTTTTGCATCTTAATGTGTTTTGAAAAAAAAACTTTTCAGGCACAGATTTAAAGTACTCGGAAACCCTCCCTAACAGAAAGACTGTCACTTGTGATCCCCACATAAATGTTTCCAAAACCACATGAATGTAGGTCACATCTGAATGTCTGGGTGAACCAGATGTTGAAAGTTGCAAGTCTCCAGTGTGTACTTTACTTTCAAGTGTCTCTGGATAGATGTTGACTTGCAAGCAATGACACATCAGCAATTAATGCAATCTGTGAATTAAAGAATAGTGCTCAAAAATACATTTGAAAGGATGAGAGAGAACTGCTCTTGCTAAGTAGTGGTACTTTTTGATACATTACCATCAACAGACTTTTTATATCTCTATATCTATATAAATAAAAACTGACCATTGAAGAGAATCTAACCAAAGGAAAACCATGAGTAGTGCTTTCCATCATTATTGTCATGTTGGAATATATTTTCTTTACATAGCTTATTAGAAAGTGACTGAAATGACTCACCTGTCAATATAAACAACAGGTAAGTAATACAGCATATGTTATCGTATCATGGCTTTAAACTCATTGAACTGAATTTACAAGTGGATGAGGAAATATGAATTTAGACGTATTTCAGTCCTCAGAACTATTATATTTAACTATTAATGAGGCCAGCAAGATTCAGATTTTTAAACTGGACAAAAACATTTCCAGTAACCTTTCTCGCATAATAAAACAGGGTCCAAGGCTCTATTATGGACTGAAGTTCAAATGGACTCAGGAGGACTCAACATAAAAACTGCTTGCTAAATGCGATCTCAGATTTAAAGTCCCACAGAATCATCCCAAAGCAAAGCTAATATGGTCACAGACAAGATTATGGAACTCAAAATTATGATTCTGGCTGAGAAAAAGTTTGATCTAGCATCTGATTTTTTCAAAACACTAAGAATAAATTCTCATTGTGGAGAATTGTTTACAGATTGAACAGAAGAAAGTGAGTCTGAGAAAGTTTGATTTTTGTCGTTGAGCAAATAATTAATGGATTTTCCACATAGTTTTAGCTTCCAACTGAAACAGCTTTTTTAAAATTGACTGAAAGACTGATGTCTTCTCAAAGTGATATCTTTGTAAAGTATTTAAGTAAGATAGATAGAATGCACTTCTCGTAGAGCAGGATTAGACCAGTAGAGGAGGAAATGTTCTCTGACTGATAACCAATCAGATGCGTTTGATGCTCGTATTCACCACACCTCCTGCTCTTACTTAAATATCAAAGTGTGCATCATTGAGGACAGTGTCAACATGGCTCTGATGATGATTGTTTCGCTGCTTCTCCTTCACCAAGGATGTAAGTTTTGTCGACTGTCTTTACGATAATTAATCATGTATGCATCTTTGCGCAAGTGATCTGCACTGAGGTCTACGTGGCCTAAATGTTTCACATATTCTTTTCTTTTTTTATCCAATGCAGATAGCTTGGTTTCAGAGATCACAGTTCCACTCGGTGAACCCGCAACCCTGACTTGTGCTTTGCCTAAAAGATGGTTAGACGTCAAAAGTATTTACTGGTACAAGCAGAGTAGCGGTGATAATCTGAGACTCATTTCGGTGATTTGGAAAAATACAAACTCCACATACGGACCAGGATTTTCAGCCAAAAAACTGAAGACAAGATGCCGTGAGAAATTTTGCAATCTGACCATTTTCAAGACGGTTCATGATGATGAGGGGATGTACCACTGTGCAGTCATTGACTGGATTGAGAATATATGGAGTGGGATCTATTTGTCACTAAAAGGTAGTTTTATGTATTATCATTACCTTTTAGATGTTTTCTTTTAAGGTTGTTTCAAACACATACATGCTTACAGCCATAGTGGATATGCTTCATAATGACTCAAAAACAAATGGGACCAAAAGAGCTTAATGTTTAAAAAAGCATTCGGTATCAACAGGACTATATTTCCACAGTTACAAAATACAGTGAATGTGCATCATCTCGATTATATGACTGAGATAAACAATACGATGGAAAAGTCTTTCTTTATTATTCTTATAGAACATTTTCCAAATATTTGCATCTGCTTTGCATTATGTAGGAAACAATCAGAGGACCAAAAACTACACGGTTGTCCGGCAGTCAGCGGTTTCAGATCCAGCTGGTTCAGGAGACTCACATAACCTGCAGTGTTCAGCCGTCTCTCACTCTGAGAACCAGACGTGTTCAGATCTCAGTGTGTTCTGGTTTAAAGATGTATCACAAAACTCTCAGCCAGACATTATCTACTCTGACGGAAACAGACGTAATGGATGTCAAAAGAGAAGTGGTACTCAGAAGAGATGTGTGCATCACTTCTCTAAGAGCATCAGCTCCTCTGAAGTTGGGACTTACAACTGTGCTGTGGCCACATGTGGAGAGATATTATTCGGAGATGGACCCAAATTGGAACCTGGTATGATTTTGTTTGTGACTCTTGGCTTTATTTTCATAATGCCTTAATGCAATAAGGATCCAATAAATTGAAATCCTTCAATGCTTTTTTCCTTGTAGATCAGCAGCCGAGCTCGAAATTCACTTTGCTGATGGTCGTGATAACGTGCTTGACCATTTCTGTGATCGTAAACGTTGTTTTTGTCTTTTATGGATTGCTAAGAGCAGCATGTGATCAAACCAAAGGTAGGTACACTTATTATATAGTAATACCAACTGTGATTAGTTTGCTGTCGTCTAACACAAGAAACAAAGTAAAATGTGTATGTTTGTTTCAAGATTATTAATCATCACTTATGAATCCTTTAGGGATGGAAGCTACATCTTTACAGGAAAGGCATGACGACTTGCGCCAACAAAGAGATGATATTGTAAGTATTGAGATCAAACGATGTTCATATTTAGT